ATCACATCAATAGACATTTTTATAAATAGACATATAACATAGCAACAAAAATAAATAGAAAAAACAGGATTCCAGTCGCTGCTGATCACAGCTTTAACTTTGACCTTTCACCTTCATGAAGACGCACCTGACCAGGTCCAATGTAAATACAGTTGGCGTTAGGATTGCAGCCCCCCCGACTCAGCAGTTGACAGTTGTTGATCTCGACACACACTGTGCCTTCACCTGTCCAGCCCTCAATACACACACACGATGCATTACCTGGACCAGCATACACACACTCTGCCTGGAGAAAGAGATATGGGGGAGGGGAGTTAAGGATGTAATTTTACCTTGTGTTCTAAACTTCACATTGAAAACAACACCATGGTTTTAACCAGAGCAGCTGACAGGCTAGCCTGAGCCCAGGACATGATCATAGATAGGCCCAGCCTCACCCAGATCTCTACTTTTTTATTTTTTATTAGGTCAGAGTCCTGGCCGCCTCCCCCCCTTCCCTGGGCCCAGGGAGAGCAGTTTCTCCTCCCTGTTATCCTGTATGTGCTGGAAAAGCAGAGCTTCTTACATTGATGTCACAGCCTCCTCTGTTGCTCTTCAAACAAGGGTTGACAGGTGAACAAGAATGTCCATCGCCCTCATATCCGTCCCGGCAAACACACCTGTTTCAATGCACACATGATGTTTAGCTGCTATACAAAGTGAACAAGTGATGAACAACCATTAGCACAAACATACTGCAAATGTACTTCTCTGGAGCACTGTGACATTTTTTAATGACAATTTTTACTAATAATTGTTAATAATTTTTAATAATAATTTTAATAAAAATTTTAATAATATATTTTAATAATAATAGTAATAATAATTTGACCTTTTTGGAAATTCTTGTGTTAACAGGCTTCTAACAGAAGCCTGCTAACCAGTACACTACGGAACCATTTCTACAGCAGTGGTTCCCAACCTCTGTTGTCTGGTGACCCCATTTTCACATCACAAATTTTCTGCAACCCCAGATATTTCAGAGTCATGTGATCACAGCTGTCAATCAAGATGCTCCAACTCAGATATTTTTATATGCTAATTGAACTCGATTTATATTCATGAAAGTGTAAGAATACATTTGTTTAAGATTGTGTGTGGTGTAGGGCTGTGACTCCAAGGTTAAAAAACAATGTGCTAGAGTGTAATTGTGGCTCTAGAATAGTCACCAAAATAGTAAGCATGGCATCATTTGACCAAATAAATCAAATGTTTTGATTTGATCTGATTGTTTAGTTCTAATGCTCACAGTTTGATGCATTTAAAGCAAAGAATTCTCTTACATGGTGTTCAGTCCCGTCTGTGTACAGTAAGCATGGATGTGACAGTGTTGCTGCAGACCGTCAGAGTTGCAGGGTGTTGCCGTCTTGTCACAGTTTTCTCCAGTAAAACCTTCTAAACAAGAGCCTCTGCGACACACACCTCCAGAGGCTGGGCGGTTGTCGCACTCACCATGTACACAGCGACAATCTGTAAGAGAGATAAGACATACAGTATATACAATACTAATCATGATAATAAGTCAGACGTAAATTATATTTTTTGTTAAAATGATCAGGTCACTATTTTTTAACCTGGTTTGTTTAGATACAATTGTTTATATATATTGTATTATATTATAATATATATTGTAATTATAATGATCAATCGAAATACTTGATTCTTTGCATTAAAAAAAACTTTAGGTGGCAGCGCTAGCTGTTCAATCCCCTAATGCAGTGTGTTCTGCAGGCCTGAGGTCCAGTCTGTGAAGAGGAAATCACTTCCTGTTTTACCTTCGTCACACTTCGCTCCATGCTTGTCTGGGTTTGAACAGATGTGGCATGCGACACCCTTGAAGCCTGGCTGACAGCTGCACGAGCCGTTGCCTTGAATACCATCGAGGCACTGCCAAAAAGAGAAAGAAAAAGATATGAATAAATGAACGACCTCTCTTGTGATTCAAGGCTCCTGAGGGTGACTTCAGTGTTGCTCACTGTTCCTTTGTTGTAGCAGGGAGTCTGAAATCCTCCAATGCAAGGTTTACAGTCTGGACCATAGAAGCCTTTACAGCACTCTGCTCTCTGTGGAAAACACACACACACCCAAAGATGTAAACATACATACAAACAATGTACTTAAAGTGAAACTGATGCTGTGACGCTGTACGGACAAAACTGCAAGACAACCGTGCATTAAAGACACAGTTTCAGTGCCTTGACTTATTAGTCCATGCACTTAATTATTCAAAGGCACATCTGGCACTGTTGTTGGACTGTAACAGCCTCCCAACAAATGACTCTGATGTACTGTAGTGTCAAAGCTCCGCTCACTTTCTGTTCACCTGTGTAAGTAAACTATGCGGACTATTCAGTTTTCCAACCTACCTGTTTGGTGGTTTTGCAGTATTTGCTACAGCCATTATTTAGAGTTTGATCTGGAGTGAGAGTGTAATCACAGCCAACCAGGTGACTCTCCTGTGGAGACACAATGACACAAGGTGGCTTCCAGAGCAATACTCACCAGGATAAAAAAACAACAACTTTGTGTTGCAACTTTGTTTTGCTTTCAGCTTTGTCTTTCATAAAACTTTAGTGAAAGTTTATCTCACGGTACAAAAGTTACTTTATATTCTATAGTCTGTGATATAGATTTCAAGATAAACGACTTTACCAGTTCGATGCTGCCCTCGGGACAATCTGTTTCATAAAGATAACTGCAAGGAACACATGGACCCTAAAACACACACAAACATTAACATTTTATCTCCAATCACAAAAGGACAGAGACAACAGGGTTCTTCTAATTATTTTAGTTTTTTTTCTGTGTTTCCGCTGATACTATTTACCACAACTAACCACAATGATCTTGCTTTCGACAATGTCACATCGATGAGGCAAAATGGGGAGAATGGATGGTGGGAACAGCAGCCCATCAATCATGTGGATGATTCCATTGAATGCAACAATGTTGGTTGTCACTAAATTAATGCCTTTCTCCCCCAGCAGAATCTGTCCCTGAAGGAAAAGGAAAGGCAGTTGGTGATTATTGAAAGTTCCTTACTCATCTTTGAGGATCTTCTCCAACCAAAAGAAAATACTGCAAGACAATTATAAGAACTTACATCCTCAGACACAGTAATTGTGACAACCTGATTGGCCATTGTCACAATCTTAGGGAGTGTAGCCAAGTCATCCACTGACAGCTAAAGACAGGGACAACAACAGGTTGACCTAATGTATGTTGGTTAAAACTCTGCTTATTAGTTATCTGGTATGTAAGACAAAAACTTCAAGATTTAAATAGTTTTAACACACACACAGCATTGTTTAGCAGCAAGTTTTGGTTTACAGTGTACCATGTACAGTGTACGGTGTCGAGAACATCTTACCACAGCTGTTGAGAAAACATGATGTCTGAGCAGTTCCTGAAGTTTATGTTTGGCCTTAAAAAAAGAGCAGAGTATCAAAAACCTGCATAGACTGCAGGTTATATGAATACATTTTAATAAAAGGACTAATGCTGCGTGCTAGCTGCTCTGAAAAGACTAGCAATTGACACTAAAATGAGCAACAACCAGCTACCAGTTTACGTTATTCAGTTGCTGATGAAGTGTAAGACACCAACATCTAATCCTAAGAACTACACCCCTACATTTATATTTACATATACATTAACCCCTCACATCATTTATCATGTAGAGGATGCTGCCGTCTCTGGCTCTGTCCACAGCTTCATTGGTCGGAACAAACACTGTCAGGGGTCCTGGACCTCGCAGAGGAGGGGGAGACCCGCAGTTCTACAAAAACATATGTAGGTCATAGTGGTGATATTAATTTCATCATGGTCATTCGATAAAGGTTAGTTTGGATTCTCTATATGTGCATATATATGTATATACACACACAGTACATGGTTATATGTATATATATATATAGAGAGAGAGAATGACATGCACTGTATTTCCTAAGTCCATCGACTTATCTTTACCAAAGCACCTTGAGTTAAAAATACCATATCAATGACATGCTTTTGCAGAGACTTGAACTTCAGGTCAGATGCCAGGCTTCCGTCAGACACACCACTGCAGGGCAGCAAGCACTTCGGCAGTTGCGTCAGTCAGTCAAACAGACTGACAGTTTTTTGTGGTCACTGTGTTGTCTCAATTAATCAGGAACAACTGTAATCAATCATAATCAATCTGAAGCTGTCTATGTGATGTGATCACATTAAAATGTTCATATGGCAGCCTGTTGTTGAATCATTAACTTATAACTTAAGACCAGTGTCATGTGATTACTTCAGAGGTATATTTCATGAACATATAAGATGTTACCAACGTAACCCATTGCTCACATCAACCAGAGACAGAAAGCGGTTATATTTTCCGTCCTTGGTGAGAATCTCTCCAATAGTCTTATCAGCAAACTGCAGGCGAGAGAAAGAGAGAAAGTACAGAAACCACATTAGTGGTGTTTCTGAAGACGAAGTTTAACCACTGCTATGCAATGTTTGCAAATGTTTTTACTTTTTGACACCTTTTCACTCACCTGTTCATCACGGGGAGATGTGTTTGTGATTGGTTGGTCTATGATGTGGATGATCCCATTGGCAGCTGGCAGGTCAGCCTGAAGAACAGTGTGCAGTCTGCTGGGGTTGTCCATCAGTATGAATTTCTACAACAGAGGAGAAAAGGTCTGGTCATTTAAACTGGTTTTCTGACTGCAGACAAGGTCACTCAACATGTTTACTGCTGGTATGTGCAGTGACCTTTGACTTATGGTTGCTGTTGAAAATAAAACTGTTTTTCTATTCTCATCTCATCTTTTTGTTCCAAGCTATTTATTGAAGTTACTCATTTTATTTACTTGTTTTGATTCTGCTGAAAAAAAAAGTATTTTTGTGACTTACTGTCTCTTTAATTTGACAAACCCTGTGACTTCTGATAACGAGCAGTTCTTACAAGCATGACAGCATTGCTCCACCCACTCTCCGCCTGTACTCTGATAAGCAGGAAACAGAAGTCATTTTCCTTTCAAACTGGAAGACACAGAAAGATCTACTGTGTATTGAAAATAAGGAAATTGGTTCAAAGAGCTGCTGCAGGAAGAGAAACACCTGGATACTGTAAAAACTTGTGAGTAATTCAACTAGCTGGAATCTCCACATGCTGCAGTGAGGATCCACCACCTAAAGTGAAAGTAAGTTCTCTCTCAGCCTTCTGGACTCATCGTTTGTTTTCTGTTCTTTCAGGGCAGAAAATGTTTTCCGTATCAGATGAGAATTTATCTTGTCCTGTCTGCCACGACATCTTCAATGATCCAGTTGTCCTGTTATGCAGCCACAGCTTTTGTAGAGTCTGTCTCAGTAACTGGTGGAAGGGTAAGAGTGTGTTTGAGTGTCCGTGCTGCAAAACCAAATCACCGAACAACAACCCACCTCGTAACCTGGCCTTAAAGAACCTATGTGAGGCTGCTCTTCAGGACAAAGAACAGAGAAGTTCCACTGGGTCTGAAGTTCTCTGCTCCCTGCACTCTGAGAAACTCAGACTCTTCTGTCTTGACCACAAGGAGGCAGTGTGTCTCATTTGCAGAGACTCAAGGAGACACACCAACCACAGGTTCAGACCCATCGATGAAGCTGCCAATGAGCAAAGAGAAGAGCTGCAGAAATTCCTAAAACCTTTGCAAGGGAAGCTCGTCTTTTATAAAGAACTGAAAGAAAACTGCGCTCAATTGGCGAAACATGTGAAGGTCCAGGCCCGACACACGGAGAAGGTGATCAAAGAGCAATTTCAGAAAATTCAGCAGTTCCTAAAGAAGGAAGAACAAGCTAGGCTGGCTGCTGTGAGGGAGGAGGGGGAGCAGAAGAGTCAGATGATTAATGAGAAAATTGAGGCTCTGAACAAACAGATTGCAGCGCTTTCACAAACAATTACAGCCACAGAGAACGAGTTAGAGGCTGGAGATGCCGCTTTACTACTTAATTACAAAGCTACAGTGAAAAGAGTCACGCAGCGAGACCTGAAGGACGACCCAGAGCTGGTCTCAGGAACTCTAATAGACGTTCCTAAACACCTGGGAAACCTGACCTTTAATATCTGGCTTAAGATGAAGGAGATGGTCTCCTACATTCCTGTTATTTTGGATCCAAACACTGCAGACCCGGAGCTCATTGTGTCTGAGGATTTGTCCGGTGTGAGATCAGGAAGACGTCAACCACTACCAAGAAACCCAGAAAGAACAAAATTCTCCTGCTGCATTCTGGGCTCTCAAGGATTCAGCTCTGGCTCTCACAGTTGGGATGTTGAGGTTGGAGACAACAAAGACTGGGAGCTCGGTGTGTTAGGAGAGTACATCCAGATCAACGAACGCATTCAGCCTGGGTTATGGAGACTTTTGTTTTCCAACGGGAAACTGTCAGCATTCTCCACTTCAGGCTCTGATGAGGAAGTTCTACTGAAGACGCTGCAGAGGGTCAGAGTTCATCTGGACTTTGACCAACAAAAGCTGTCATTTTTAGACCTCAGCACTAACAAAGTCATACACACCTTCAAACACACTTTCACTGACACATTGTTCCCATACATTTACACTGAGAATCACCCTTTGCTGAAGATTTTACCTGCGAAGGTCAACGTGACCCTGGAGAAGGAGACTTACGAATGATGCTGCAGTGATCGCACTGGGATTACATGTAGCAGGATTAATATTCCAGGTTTAATTTGATCCCTTTATCAGGAATGGCCACTGCAGTAGTCTGCATAGCATTGATTTCTACACCAGACTGCACCACTCCAACCCAATGACAGATAATGGTGAAATATTAAATTACCTTATTTGGTTACATTAAAACATTTAGTGAGAATTCTCCTTATAATATTTTGGTGGTGGTAATGATAAAGGGAAGATTTTGGGGAAGATTTAAGATATAACAAATAAACATAATGATTAATTTATGTGGTTATTATTAATAATTAAATCCATGTATTCAATTAATTTAATTGAATTTAAAGCAATATGTGTTGTGTGTTTTTGAGTGGTACTGGTGAAAAAGAGAAAAGGGTTTATCCCTATGTTTCGAGATAAAATGTTGAAATAATATTTGTAGGTGGTAATAAATTACATTTTGGGGAGTGTGAAATTATATTTAAAAGCCACAGTCACTTTGAAATACAATTTTCGGGTGTGTGATTTTAACGGGTTTATTGGAAAGAGGGATCAATAAAGTCTTGTTTCAAGGACAATAATAACTGTTGTTATTAATAATGTTAATGTTTTTCTTTAACTAATATATTTTACTGGTGGTCACACAGTGGGAAAGTGGTTGACAGCAAATCAACTCACTAACCACCGTTTTAACCAACAGTCCAAAAACATTACATCATGTTAATAAGTCTAGTCTAAATTGGCAATAGTTGTGATTGGGAGTGTGAACGGTTATCTAAATCTACGATAAACTGTCTAGGGTGTGACCCAGCGCTCCCCTGATGACAGCTGTGATTGGCTCTAGCCAACCATACAACAAGATGGCTCTAGGGTTTGAAGACCACCCTTTACCTTGTCACCCTTGCTCCTCCACTTGGCTCCTCCATACATGTTAACATCTCGTCCCTCCAGGTCCTTGTACAGGTGCTGACCCAGTATCAGATGGCCTTTACACACCGTCTCTTCATCAACGCCCTGCAATGACAGCTTAAGTTTTAAACTCTACATTTCTTGATATGTTTCTCCCAATTAGCCACAGGCTTAAAAAACAGGAAAAAAAGACATTTGAAATTTGACATAGTGCTTCACACATCAAACTGTCTCCGTCATCAACTCCACCCATGAAACAGAACATTGGAATGTCTTCTCCTGTGCCCTCGGGCAGAGTGAGGGTTTTTTTGGGCTTGCTCAACACAACACAGTCATAGGATTAAACTCAACAACCCAGGTTATGAAGCTGATAGTTAAGCCACGGTGTGCCCCCAAAATCAAGATTGATGTTCTGCCAACTGAAAGAACGAGGCCTACAGACTGCACATTGACAGACACTAAAACAGGCTAAAACATAAAACATACACACTAAAACATACCAAAGTTATTGTTGTAAACAAACAAACAGAAACTTACAGTTAGAGGTGTCCTCATCACAGGAAGAAAAAGAGTGAAGGGTCCACCATGACTCAGCAGTGGACAACTGCTGGCTGAAATACACAGAAAAACACACAGAGGTCAGAAGTCACAACCAGAAACAAACATCATCACCACAACGTTACTACATTAATTGTTGTTGGTGTTAATGCAGGAATGAGTACAGTATTTATACCTGAGTTTAAAAGGATTTTAAAACTCCCTTTTTTATTTATTTTTTTTTGTATCTGTGAGTTCTATTGAACTGAAATTGGGTATGAAAAGCATTAGTGCTTTAAATATCAGAAATAAACAAAAGATGTTGAGTTTTTACAAACAAAATGATTTTTCTCCCAATTATATTAAGTTGTTGTATCAACTTTGAGTACTGAAATCCCTTTATCTCTTGTTGTTGTTGACTCTAAAGGACTGTTGTTGCTCTGTAGTGTATGTATGAGGAAAAATATGGATACTGACTAATTCAGGCTCATCATGTTTAAATACTGTATTTACTTGTTAAGGGTTTCAACAGAATGAATTAGATTTACGTCAATATTGTATGTTTCATGAAACTCTTCTTCTAGGGAGTCTATTATAATAAGTCTATTATAATATATTTAATGATATAAAATCATATAACTCATACAAATCTCTGGTAATCAGGTTTTACTAATGAAAACCAAATTCATGTGAAGATGTACTGGTGCTGTTTGTAGTAAGATCTCACCAAAATACTCAACAAAGTGGTGAAAGGCATAGACAGGTAGTATAAATAAATAAATAACACAACCAATTCTAAAAAATTGCCAAATATATTTTTTTTACCAAACAGATCAACAGCTTGAGTTAGATTCTCTCTCAACGTTTTGCTTCTGCCAAGATCTAGGATGCGCTCCATCAGGTTACCATAGCAACGTCGACCATCACCAATCTGAACTGCTTCACACTCACACCTGAGACACAGAGGGGCAGGATACGGGATTAAATATTTCTACAAAAGCCCAGCAATATGAATGAGATATCTGAGAGTTAACAGACCAATAGGGAAAGGCCAGCAGAAAAAAAATATTTTTGGTGGAAAAATGTGTCATAAATTACAGATTTATAGACCTGGCAAAGGAATTACTTAATATGGAATTATTTCAGTTCCAGGAGGTACAGACATATTTGTATCTTTACTCTAAAGGGACAACTTTCCTATTCTTTTACAAACGTACTTTTCAGGTTGTAGATCTTGAGGCCTGGGGTTTGTAAAAAGAAACAGACCTTCTCTATATCTCATTTAAGTTTAGACAATATTAATGATAATAATAATAATAATAATAATAATACATTTTATTTCATAGGCACCTTTCTGTCCCCCAAGGACACCTTACAACAAATAAAAATAGATAGCAGATAACAAAGAAATGTGTTGCTGCTCTGACCTGGGTTGTCCATCCAGTCCTGTCTGACAGACAGCAGTGGAATCACAAGTGTCTGCAGAACAAGCAGAAACTAGCTCACAGCCTGACTCAGGGTTGCCACCTATAGGGGACATGCCATACATGCACTTACAGCTGGACTGAAAGACAGACAGACAGACAGACAGACAGACAGAGGACAGTAGATTAATCACATTTCAAAAATTGTTCTAATGTTGTAATAACCCCTCTCTGCCTCTAGAGCTGTCATGCATGTCCCTTGGGGAAAGAAATGTTTTCATGCTCGCCCGCCTGACCCACATCCCGCAAATTGAAACTATTGAGAACCTGATAACATGTATATTTTTATCTGTACAACCCACTGTATGAGTTGCTGCCACCTAGTGACTGGAGGCTTGTTATCATTCAAGCATTACAGCAGTGGTACACTTATGTCCATATGCGTGCCATATTCCATTGGAAGCCCCTCCTGCCCCCTCTCTCCCCCAGCACCTCACTGTGCCCCCTCCAGGGGGGGCAGCCCCACTATTTGAGAAATACTGCTCTAGAGGATGTCCTTTACCTTATTTGGTCCTTTAAAGACACAGATGGTGGAGTTGACTGGACAACCTCCATTGTTCTGAGAGCAAGGGTTTTTGGGTACGCAAATCCTGCCATCACCCTCGTAACCAGGCTTACAAGCACAGTTGACCTTTGACCCCTGTGAGGAGCACTGGGCATTGACATCACAATCTCTTGCAGAACATGTGTCTGAAAGGAAAACAAACTACTAGTTAATTAGGTGTTATATAAATGTTAAAGTTAGATATAAATGTATTCAGGCTCTACATAAAATTATGGAGTAAAATAAATATTGAATTCTTCAGTGAAAATGCAAAATTTAAACCAACTTTGTCTTGGTGTGCTCTGTAAAAAAGGTGGAATTTATCAACCAAACTTAAAAATAATTGTTTTACAACAGCGTTCAAATGAAACTGACTGATAATGCTAACTGTGTGAAGAGCAATTACTTGCACATTGGCCCGATGCCATCTGTCTGTGCCCAGGAAGACATTCACAGGTGGCACTGTCTGCCCCTCCTTTGCAATATGAGTAGGCCTTGCAGTCACTGCATCGAGAACTCACTGCCCGTCACACAAAAACACAATTAAGCAGCAGAGTTCAGTATCATCCCATCAAATATTATAAATTTGGAGCGGAACTCACTGTCTGTCGTGGCAGATCTTACCCTGGTCACATTTGGTTCCACTGTATGGAGGTTGACACCAACACTGTCCATCACCCTGTGGACCTTTGTTACACACTCCATGTACACAGTCACACTCTGCACAGACAAGAGTAGACACAATTCAGTTGCAGTTGAACACACAATGATATAATATTATACTTGAAGGTGTTTAAATATGTATTTGTTAGAATTATCTGTCCGAATGGCTAGAACTTTGTACCTTTATCACACTTTTCTCCAAAAGCATTTGGATTCATGCATTCCTGACAGGCAAAGCCAGAAAAACCATCCTGAGAGAGAAATTGTTTTGATTAGGTTTTAACAAAGACTGTACTATAAATACTTTATGGAACCTCATAATAATAATAGTAATACCAATAAAAACTCTCCCATCTCTAAATTGATGTCATGTGTTACATCAATGAAACCATTGTAACCGACTGATACAAACACATCACTCATGTGTAAAATCCTGGAACTCAGTGAATGATTTTTACACTTACATCACAGACACAGGTTCCATTTCCAACGTCTCCATCCATGCAGACTCCATGGAAGTTACATGTGTTTCCTGACCAACTCGGACAGGCTGCAGACACAGACAAGACACAATACTTACTTTATCAATGAATAGTGATAGGTACTAGGTAATAAGTGTTTGACTGACAACCTTTAGTCACATTTTATTTATATCAGCTGGAGGTCATTCCGTCGATATTTATTTATTAACTATTGCAGATAACGCTATATTTAAATACATTTAAAAATGGCGGCCTTTGCCTTGTTTAGCTCGGAATGTAGAGAATTCGTCCCGGAGTATGTCGTTTTTAGCTCAGTTAAACTCTTTACTTTTCTGGTAAAACTAGTTTTGTTATTAGTTTTCATTTTTAATGTAAGAATAAAACGTTTAAACGAGTCACCACTTAAACATTCACTGAAAATAAACCCCATTCGCTACTTATTACTTATTTCTTAATTTATACGTCTGTCCGCTGAAGCCAGTGACGGGTACTTACCCCATGTTTTATTATGTTACTCAACATATCCGCAAATTAAATGTATGTGCGTGGGTGTATGTCTTACGGAGACACAGTGGGCCCCAATGCTGTGGGCAGCACTGAGGCTGCATGAACTGTTTCACACAGACGTGTTGACATCCACTCAGCGCCATCTGTCTGCTGCCAATCAGCACCTCGTAACTGCATGAAACGAAATACACGAGTTAAACTTTTTTTTTTTTTTTTTTGCTGTCGTAAAATACAGGAAGAGCAGCACGAATAGCTACATAGAAAGTTGTTTGATATTTACCTGCAATTGGTGGTGGCCACTTTGCTGAAACCATGGGGACAGTTGGCGGTGCTAATAGCTGCACAAGACGTGCAGGTGGTGTGGATGTCTATCCTCTGTGGAATATCACAACGACCAGGAGGGGGAGTCTGAGGGAACAGGTGAAAATGAAGGCCAACACAGACTGACTGACAGACAGGCAAAGAGACATCCTGTTTTAAAATTAAAATCAGAATAATTGTATCTGCTTCTGAGAAATAGCTGCTACTGTTTACACTGTTTGACAATCTGCACCACGTGGACACGTGGTTTTAAGGTTCCATGTTTAATATTTCATTTTCAAAGCAATCACTCAAAAATCAAGACAATCATGATGGTAAGTGGGTCACCTGAGATGTTGGATTTGGGTCAAATGTGGTAAGAATAAGATTGTATGTTTGTTTGTTTGTTTAAAAAAGCTCTCATTCATTCATTCATTCGTTAAAATTAAATTGACTTAATGTGGATTAATGAAGAGTCTCCACACAGGTTCCACTCAGGACTACTTCCCTCCCACACATAAATTCCTCTTTTTCATGTTTTACATTAGTGCACATACAGTGTACAGATACTGTACAGAGACAGACTGGTGTCGGTATTTATATGAAGTAAACATTCAAGAACTTATGAACTTCACTTACAGTAGTTTGATTGATACAAGGGGTTCTGTCTTTGTGTGTCAGTAATCTACAATAAACAACCCTGTAAACTTCAGTACGTAAATATTACTTTAATTTTATTGTAGATTAATGACAATGTTTTATACCTACAATATCAGGCCAAATTAGTGTCTGTGGTCAAGCTGGGGTTGTTAATGTATGTATATATAGTAGAATTTAAGAGCTTCCTGATTGCATCCTGTTTTTTTACACAGACTGCATCAAGTGTTTTCAGTAAGACATTTAACTTACACTTAAAAGTAATTATCAGGAGTAATTTTAGGACGTCATAGTTTATTTTTTAAATTAAGCAAAATAAATAACAAAAATAACATTTGAAAAATCACACCAGTTTAGTCCACATGACCCACACATTGTCATTTACTCTATGATTAAACTTTCACTATCTTATACACAAATGATTTTTTTAATCTCTGCGTCAAAAAAAGATACGATTAAAGTGTTTAAACCCTTAAGAATTCACAAGAATTCAACAGTTGTGCAGTTGTTTGAGTCTAAATAAGTTGTGAGTTTATTACCTGTCCCTGCAGTGACTTTGGCAGACAGCAGAACAGCAGCAGCAGCAGCATCATGGCTCAAAGTGTCACATTCAGGAGGAAAAGCTGATCCACTCAAGAGACATCCACTTTAAAAAAAAAAAAAAAAAAAAAAAGTGTCTTGTTTTCTGTCGTACACAGTCAGAACCGAAAGGCTCAGCGCCTGTACCAGCTACAGGCACACAGATAACAACATCCCCTGTGTACAATGACCAAACACTTCAAGAGAGAGATCAAGACCACAGTAGTATTCCAGCAGTTTACCAAGACCAAAACCTGTTGCTATTAGATACAATATCATAAGACTAACTCAAAATAGTTGCAAAGGTTAGAGGAAAACCACAGGTTAGATCCTCGCAGGCACTTTACTTCTATCACCAGCACTTGTCTTGACTCATTTAAAGTTTTGAAGCAAGAAACACTAAAGGCAAAACCTAACAAAAATGATTAAATCTGAGAAAAATAGTAATCTTTGTTATCCGTTAAGGCAAAGAGCAGCTAGAAGGTGGAGAGAGTGGTGGCGTCATGTCTTTTCCTCTGATCTAGGAAGGAAAAAAAAACAAAAAAAAAAACAGAAACTGGCACCTCCTGGAACCTCCCAGCAGAGGTCATCTCCTCCTACTACTCCCCTTCTAGTAATAGCAGTAGTACTTGTAGTGTAATAAAGTACATAAGGTATATAAGCATTCCCTTAACTCTCCTTTCACCCTGATCTTAGGAACAGAACAATTCACTTTCAACCAGAGTAAACATCAAGATGTTTCATGCATGTTTATGTTAGTCATTCCTAATCAGCTGTCCTATTGTCATTTAGGTCAGTCTTGTGTATATGTACATGTATGTAAAATATATATTTAAAGGCATACGTGTGTGTGTGTGTGTGTGTTCAGTCACGTGGTTATTTGACATTTCCTAAATCACCAACCATAAATAAAACTTAGTTATTTTTGCTCAGTGGAGTGCTATACTCTGCCACTTCAAACATGTCTGATGTTTGAGGTTAGAGCTCTAAAGATTGCGAGAAATTCTCTCTCTTCCTGACAGGAAGTTTAGGGTGGGATTCTCTCCCAGTACAGTCCCAGTGGGACAGTGTGGTTTTGACGGATTTCCTGGTCACCTGACACAATTCCTGATCTGCTTTTCAGAATGAGAAGAAAAAATGCAAACCCTGGGATTTTTTTTTCTGTATTTTTTTCTTTCAGTTTGATTTGACAAACAAACGACCAACTAATGGAGGTAAGTCTGACCAAAGAGTCACAAAGGTCAGAGGACCAGCAGTCAGAACAATGGCAGGAAACTGGCTGACGTTCAGGACCTGACAGTGAGCCACAACAGGGATTTACAGCTGTGCTTACTGGGTGTAAAGAGGGAGGAAGTCTGGTGGAACTTAACAAAATTAACAATCTGCAGTTATAGACTACAGCGTTGTCCTAGAAGTAGGAAGTACAAATCTGTGTCTTTCCCAAAATTTGCCACCAATCAGCAGTCTAGAACAGGAAAACAGGCAAGCAGACAGATGAAAACATCAAAGATAAGAGGAAGTGAGTAGGCATTTACTATCAGAGTCACATCCATCTGCTCTTCCTGGGAAAGAAAAAGGACAAAAAAACTTCAAACTCAAGGACTGTGAAATCTTCAGTTTCAGCCTAAGAACTAAAGGGTGTTGAATAATCTGTAAGACCCTAAAATAATTCTTAAATAGTAAAGGTGAGAGGGTGGATTCTTATTACCTTACAGCCAAATCTGTGTCAAACTCGAATGTGTTTTTTGTGTGTGCTATATGTGATTCTTTTTCCCCTTTCACTTGAAGTTCAGGATGCCATGGATGTCAAATAAGGTTCAGACATGCGTTCTGCTGATCCCACATTTCCAGTTACAGTATCTTTGACCTCAGCCGGTTCTCGTGTCATTTAAAAAGGGAAATCAGTCAAAGCTTGTGTTGAGCAGCGCAGACAGATGGGAAATAAAGGAAGTTGAACCAGTTAAGAGGTGGTGGTGCATTTTTTGTTTTCTTTTGCCAAGGAAGTGCTAAGTCATCAAAACCTCATTGAGCCACAAGAGCCATGAAGTGCTGACAAGAGCTTCTGTTCAACATGTTCTTTTCTCCAATTTTACATCTGCAGTTTGGTGGTGATAAAAGATTTAGGAAATGGAAATTGTCTATGAAGGACATTAACGAACAGATCAAGTACATTGATGGACCTTCATCAGCATGTTCAGAGACGATGGTACACTGTATGATAATGTATCTGCATCCCCCTTATAGAAAATAATTAAAAAATGTAATATTTTAATGATCTATATCTATTATTATGATTTGAAATTTGTTAAAAAAATAATTAAAAACCGTTACAAACAACATACTAATTATTTAGGAAATGGGGTTCATGTTTTTTTCCAAATACATTTTTGTAATTTTGTATTTATATTCACATATATTTTGTATGTACATTTTTCATAACATGTATTGTATTTTTTTAATACCTAGAAAAATCAAGTTTATTGAAGGTTTGTATTAAATTGCAGTGCAAATATTTGTCAAAAGATGAAGCAGTTAGCATTTTCATATATTTCCATAAATTAGAAATATTTTGGACACCCATTTCAGTTTTTTGCAGTCGTTACTGTTGGTCCCAGAATCGGTGTCAGTATTGTCAAAACAGCAGTGATTCACCCCTAACCTTCAACTTGTCAAAATTAACTCAGGAAATAAAACGAAAAAAAAAACAAAACCTTTTTTTTCATTAAAAAATGGTTTAAGATCACATATCAGACAGGAAATATCAAGATCTTCATGTTTAAGTAGGAAAAAGTAAACAATCTCGAAACAAAATGATATTCACAAAGTTATATTAAAAAGCTTAGGAGCACTTTTCTGTAATACTTTTATAACAATGTGCAAAAAAAAACAAAAAACAAAAAACAATGTGCAGAAAGCAGATTGTGCCGAACAGTTTTGCTTATGCGAAAATGTTAGCCTTTTACGCAAATCCTCCTTTTAAATAATGGATTGAAACGTAAAAAAAGACCATGAGATTTTATACTTAAGGATCAACTAGACAGTTCTGGATGCTGTTCTAGATGCATTCGTTGCCCACTTTTGATCAGGCTTATTTTTACAAGTCCAGTTTCTGTGTCCAGTGTGTCCTTGATCCCTCTCTGTAGAGGATGCATGAAGCAAAAAGTTCAAGAAACACTTGATTCTTGAAGATCAAATTGATTGGGACCCCCATAGAATACCTTGTGTGAAACTCGTGTTGGTGTGTCTGTCAGTCATGTCTCCCGGTTTATAAAGAAATGTGCAGTCAGTGTGAAATGTCAGTGCCAGAAACTTTGATTTAAGCTTGAGGTGAGATGACAGATATATTGTCTGTGATAACACAGCTGCCTGTTTGATCAAACCTACAACAAATATACATACGTGTGATTTGTGCAAGAATTTCAAAATATGAATCCAATTTCCCTACAGACCGACTGACTCATAAAGACGTGAATATAACAACGTAAATAAATAAATAGACTGAGCCTTTCAAGCTCAGCTGTTGGTCTTATAGAAAATCTGTGTAAAAGGAGATCAGGAGTCTTATTAGATGAAAACATTAACCTGGCTAATCCTCATCAACACACAATGCAACATTTCACGTACATACTTACTAACACTTGGTTTCCAAAGTTTACTCTGTTGATACACAGTACCTGGCCCTGTGTGTGGAGGTGTGTCTGAACGTTGGCTGCAGTTTTAGGTTGGTTCACCGTCTGCCTTCCTTCTGGGTGAGTCACTGTATCCCGATCCCTCTGTAACAACATGCTTCTGCCTTCTACTTTGACACATTAATAGAACTTGCCTTGGGGATTCAAAAAGGCATGAACCACATCATTTAAACTGTAGTGAGGCCTTAAATCCTATCCATCCATTTGTCACTAATACCAGCCTGACAGGCTATATCTGTGTTTATGTTGTTTCCTGTTTCCCACTCAGCCGGTGAGCTCCACAGGAAGTTCTCGGCTGCACAGTGCCTCCCACTGTCGAGCCAAGAGGGAGATCAGCCGCTCCCTGCTGTCGGCTCCAGGAACAAACACACACCACTGCACTTCACCCTCTGCACCGCTGCTTGCTCCGCCGCATCTGGACTGAAGTTCCTCTTCCTCTGGAGCAAAATGGTCCATGGTGAGGTGGCAGAGCAGGTCAGGGCCCGGCAGGTCGTCAAACACCAAGGTCAGGGCCTGAGGGTATGTCTGGTAACCGAGCAAGACCCGGTCAAGGTCCCGGATTCTCCGAGCCTCACGCAGTTGGTAGCGCTCTCTACAATAGAATAGAAACGCAAATAAGGGAATAAATAAGGAGTGTGGCCAATTGGTTGCACCAGATCATTAGTATAAACTAGAGCTGCAGCTAATGATTATTTATGTAATTGATTAGTTTATCAGTTACTTTCTTTGTTTAAATTTAATTAAATTATCATTTGAATATAAGTAAGTCTTATTATTATTATACAGAACCAGGAGAAACAACAAGAATCTGTAAAGCTTAGGATATACTGCATAAAGATATTTTGGTCCTGTTTCAGTCGCCACAAACGTAGACAGTGCCCTCTCGTGGCCATAGATGATAAGGGCCATGTTTTTGACAAACGGTTTTTGTTTTTGTTTTGTTGTTTTAAGTGAACTACTTGTCATTCTGACACAGCTCACCACTGCACACAACCAAATGTGACCTCTGCTTTTAACCCATCACCAAAGTAAACAGTGGGCAGCTTTAAGCGCCCGGGGAGCAGTGTGTGGGGACGGTGCCATGCTCAGAGCACCTCAGTGGTAACTTCTCACCACTCTAGACTACAAAATAGTATCTAGTAGAGACAACGAAGGTCAATCAGTGTTTTTCGTGTATGGGATACGAGGTTCACCTGGAGGGAGGTTCTTTGGCAAAGTCAGGCAGAGGATAACTGATGTAGTCCTCATCCAACAGGAAAACATCTGTGCTGGTCAGAAGCAGGGTCCTGGGCTGAAGGACAGGAGACAAGGCTGTGCCAGAGGTGGTAGAGGGTCCTGAAAGGACAGAACCCTGACTCGTCGGCGTGTTGGGAATCTGGACCTGAAAGAAATAAAACAGTCTGAAGAAAGAACACAGTAAAGTACACAATACACAGGAAGGTTTCCATCTGTTTCTATTTGTCTTCTCCACTCAAGGACAGGTGTGAGAAAACAACATCACTACACCATTAGATGAATTATTAGTTTACTGAATTATTCTCAAACCTGGAAAACCAGCAGGTACAGCAAGATGTTGAAAGAACGAGATGAAGACGATGCTGCGCTGGCCAGAGTCTTTCTTTCTGCTACGATGAAGGTCAGGTCTCCCATCTCTTCCTCACTGGGGTAAATGAACTTCACCCTGCTACTGTGGATTAGCTCATAGTTCTGCATCTTACCTGCAGGGGGAGACAAACGTACTATAGTGTCACACTTATTATGAAGGTGTGTCTTTCATGCCCGAACTGTTCCTCAAAGGGTCGTGTGGCTGCAGGTTTTTGTTCCAACTAACCAAGAGCACATAGTTTGACCAATCAGCTGTCTGAAGACTGAGACCAGTTGATTAAACTTTTTGATTTCCCTCCTCCTTCCACAATTCAAAAGTTGGATTACCATTAACAAATCATTACTGTGACTCTGTCCTCTGTCAAAGTTACCTGCATTTGAGATAGTAAACTGAGAGTAGAAATCCAGATCTGATGGCTCTGGAGGTGGAAGCTGCTGCTGCTGCAGACTGAGGACTGACATCAGCTCCTGAAGAAAGACACTTGTCCCATAACTGTCTCTGCTCAGGCAGCCCACAATCTGACCTGCCGAATGACCTGAAGAGAAACAAACACAAGAAGATACAAGACTGTAGAATAACGTTTGGTTTTTTTATAAAAAATTACTGTTACCAATAAGATGGCTGTCCAGTCAAGGAAACGTATGTGAATCGACTCACCTACAACTCTGAAGTACTGGTCAAACAGACCCACGTTGACTGACAGCAGTTCAGACAGTCTGATGGACAGACAGCAGCATAGAGACACATCAGTGTCTCCAGAATCACTTATGTCCATCACTGAGAGACAGAAAGGAAAAAAAACCTTTAACATTAAACATTGGTCAACATTAAAAACTTTTTACCTTTAAATTTACATCGGGTGCATAATTATCATTTTAAAACCTAGTATTTCATTCAAAAATAAAATAAAATACAAATCTGATTGGATGGAAGGAACTTAATTTTATATTACTAAATAAATGCACAAACTGTACATGACCTCATTAGACCAAATGCTGTGCTTCTATGTTATGGATCCACAGTTCTCCTGCTGCATCTGCAGCAGATCAAGGCTGCATAGACGGCTGAGCAGATAATATTTATTATTTTTTTATCTTTTATAATATTTATATAATTGTATTTTTATGTTGCTGTTGTTGTTTTTATTAAACATTAGATATTATATATATAGTATTATGGTATATAGTACAAAACTATTTTTTTCCCTTAAAACTGCTGCTGGTTTCAGTTGCAACATTTCAACTTTTAAGTCACTTAAAAGAGTGTTGCTTATTTATAAATGCTGCTTTTATATATTTTCTTATTTACCTTTTCACATTTACTGTTGTAATAATAATAATAATAAAGATAATAAAGAATCCATCCGTCTATCTAACACACATGGTCAGTCTGAGAGGAGCCACCACGTCTGGTTGATCTACCTGTGTGATCACTGAGTGTGGAAGTTGAGTCCTCCAACAGGAAGTAGATTGCGTCAGTGGAGAGCAGCAGACAGCAGGTGAGCTCAGCCTCTGGAGATGTGTAGAGAACCACAGACAGCCACAGGACCTGTCTCACCTCCTCGGCCTCAGACTAATAAATGTTTTCATTGAGACTTTTTTCAATATAAATTAAATGTGTTGATTGCTTTTGTAAATGCTTACAAACGGCCTGACAGGACTTGGTCCAAATGTATTAAAATAAACTCAAATAAACACACATTTATGGGTTTCTCTTACCAAGGCTATATATCTTTGGAAATAGGACTGTAGCTGTTGTCTACTGAGACCTGATAGAAGCTTCAGCCCTGGAGAGAGACCTGACGTGAGATGAGGAGACGGCTGGTTCTCCTCCAACTGAAGAACAGAGGGGTCCCAGCTGAAGATAATAGGATATGAAAAAAATCTAAAAAAAAACAAAAAAAAACCCCAAACCTAATTTTTTTTTTCTATCATCTTCCCTGAAATTAGTGCAGATGAATGGTGTGACTATGGTTAATAATAATATTCCTATCATAGAAATGTATGGTAGATAAATTAAAGATAATCTGTTTATAGACAGATAATCTGTTTCAGATTACAAAATCTGCACGGAATAATCTGGTAAACAACTGGCAATGTCTCTTATTACTTCTCACCCAACATTTTGACTTTCATTGTTGTAATAAAATTTAAACCAGTTGGCATTAATGCTAATAAATACCCATTTTATTATAATATAAAACAAGGACAATCCAGTTTAAGGTCCTGACCTGCTTAGGTTGTGTGGTTGTATGGTACTGGTGTAACAACACTGGTCTCCGGATGTTTCAACATCTAAGAGAAAAAACAAGATCCAAAATTAGTCATTCATTTTAAATAATTAAATAAAACCCTTTACAATGCAAACCAAATTGTGGCTCTTCACCATGTGTATGTTCACTGTGGTGTGGACACATCCTGCAGCTATGGGGCAGAGCCAAAATCTTTACCCCATCCAGAGACCCTCTCCTCCAACTCAGCTCTTCCAAGAAGGAATTCCTGTCCTTGCAGAGAGGGAAGAGCAGGAGCAGCCTCTGAGTTCCCAACAGCAGGTCCAAGGAGTGACTCCTCCTGGACACAACAGTACGATCAGTCTAAGCTTAGAAGGATGGATGAAACCAATAACAATAACTCACTAATACAGTAAGTTAAAGTGAATTTGAAATAAATTAATTGACTCAAAAACATACATTTTGGATGAAACTCACTCAAAAGTGAACATTGATGCTATAATTTGTAAGGTTTACAGCTAATAGTGAATAAATTTGCAATGGTGACAAGAAACCACACATACCTGTACTGGTGTTTTGGGTCTGGACAGATGGAACTTGTTCCATCCACATCCTGAAAACCTTTCTCTATAGGATGAAGACAAACAGAGCTGAGGGGGACACGGATGAGTTTGCACCAGGAGGAGGGAGCGTGATGGAGGTCAGTGTTGCTCCTCTGTCTTTCTGCCAGCACTCTAAAGTCTATCTTAAGAATCCACAGTTGTCGGTGGGTGAGGAAGAGGAGAGAAGGGAGGCTTGATTTATCTTCCTGGTGTAAAATGTCTAACAGGAGTGCAGAGTCTGAAATAGAGGAGGAGGAGGAGTTGTAGGATAGGAGGTGTACAGGGTAGCCTCCATGGACTGTCTGACTTTCCTCCAGTTCCCAGGAGTTTATAAGTGATCGTGGAAATGGCTGAGGAGAAGTTTTTGGTTCAGTCTGAGCAGATGACTTTCCTTCCTGAAGAAATATTAAGGAAGAGAACACTGTATCATTTTTTTAATCAGTACTGAGAGACACAAAATGTTTTTAAAGAACAGGTTTTGGTTTAATTTTCACTTTTAGGAATTCTGCAATTTAATCTGGAAATGGTTTGTTTTTTAAACTGCTGCGACTATTTTACTGAATGTCAAATTTTGTCCAATGACTAGTTTAAGGCAGAGGTGGTTCTTTCCTGCTCTCTGACCTGAATAAGTGCTTTAATTTCAGTCGTTATTTGTTGGAGCTTCTCTGCCTCCGAGAAGATGTACCAGCGGGTTGGACTCGACATCAGTCCAAACGAGAGGCAACATTCAGGTAGATCACCCCCAGTGGTCAACAGGAACTGAGACAAGGGCAGCAGGAAGTTTATCTGTAGCCCTGACAGCACTTCTTCCACATGGAGGTGTCCCTCCTGGTCTAAAGAAAACAATTTCTTTAGTAAAACACCAATTTCACTGAACCTTCAAACTGTTTTCATCCACTTTGTTCTGTGTGACTGTGTACTTACCTGCATCCTGAGTGGTCCAGTCCACAAGGTCCAAAAGGCCCACTAGTCCATCAGTCAGCACCAGACATGCCTGCTTCTGTTTCACCTCCTCCTCTACTTGAAGACAGTAGCACCACAACACTCTTTTAACGTGTAACTCCTCCACATCATCATCATCACCACACAGGTTGATTTGGTCACTACTGGACTCCTCTGCAGGAGGAGAAAGATGAGAAGCAGAGGAGGTGCAGACCGACTCCTCCACAGAATCATCTAGACCCATTTCAAAGTATCCATCCTTGGAGGCTGGACTGGACAAATGAGAATGACACAGGAAGGGAATTCAAATTTGTTATTACTGTATGTTTGATCAAAGACCAAATGTGCATTGAAAAATGATTTTTGGGTCGATGATGACCCTAGGTCCAGTTACCTGGCACTGTCCACCTCAGTGCTGTCGACATGAAACTGCACTTCCCTGGATTCAAACCTCTTCTCATCATTCGTCTCCGCCTCCTCCGTTCTCTTCAAATTCTCTTTCTTCAGGTTAGTGCTGAGGTAGCGTGAAAGGTGTGCAATGAAGTCTGTGTTGAAGGAGGAGCAGGAGGGAAGTTGAGGAGAAAGTAGAGGACACCAGGTGGCACTGCAAGCTGAACAACTAGTTTCAGCTTGTCGGGAGGTAGAAGTCCAACAGACACAACTGATAGACACAGAAAAACATAGAGTTGTTACAAATTCCTTTTTCTGTGACAAGTAAAACACATCAAACTGTTCTGGATAGAAAATAACACTGTACCCAGTTGAACACATAATCAATTATAGTTGCTTTCATTTTAGACTCCAGCAGCCAGAACAACAACACAAAAATGGCAGCTGAAGAATAACAGAAATGCAAGAGATTGTCTTATAATACCACCAGCAGCAGTAAGACTTCTGTCTGTCCATGAATTTCAAGTCCAGTGAAAAAAAAAACCTTTAAGGTTTGCATTACATGAGCAGTAGCCCTCAGCTGAATTATTTGCAAAAAAAATATTTTCTATTTTCTTTCTGTGTCCTTGTTTGTCATTGGTACAAATTACAAGTGAGTGCAGTAGAAAGGCTTAACAAGTCATCATTTAGTGAAAAGTGTTACCTCTAAAAAAATAACTAACTAAAAACTAACATAATATAAAAGATGGGAGGGTGGACATATTAATGTTTAGTTTTATAGTGATTTTGAATTAGCTTGCATACTAACCAGGCAGGAGTAGCCATAATTGAAGCAGCAGCAGCAGCAGCAGTTGTAACACTTATTACAGTTCCACAGAGATTGTGTTCAGAGACACAGACTGTGGTTTGTTGTCTCTGTGAACAAACAGATTGAGCAACGTGAAATTCTGCTGACCTCAAACAAACATCAACACACATTCCACTTCTATCTAACTACCAAGGTGGATTTCCTGCATTATCCTATTTCTGTCAGGCCAAAAACAACATACATAAACATAATTAACTTTACAGCAGATGATCAAAACTTCCTAACATTTTGAAGGTACACCCATACAAGTAAACCGCATTGGGGGGAACCAGGTTTCCCTCTGAACAGGAAGGAAGCTGTGGCTAATACTGACGTAGAGCAGACGTCTCACTAACTGACAAACTGTTCTGTGTTTTCTGACCTGGATAGTTTCAGCAGACAGGAGGTGTGGGTCAATGTTAAAGCCTTCAGGGGGAGGTGCATCAGCAGAAGCATCAGCAGCAGCATCAGGGAGGAGATCACTGGGGGAAACTGAGGCTTCTTCTGTGCTCATCACTTCTGAACAGTAAACCATTTAAAATTAACAATCATATAACAAACACCTTACATTTATTTGGAAAATGAAACAAATATTTAACTTCTGTGAATTGTATTTAGACAGAGAAAAAAGAAACAGAAACATTGGTGTTAGTTGTACTCCATCACATGATTTTTTTAAGAGACATGCAACTGTTGAGTAATAATGGACGTGCAGATGCAACCCCCTCCCTCAGCCATGCACAGTCGGATACATACGCGTTTACCTTGGCTGGGGTGGGCAGTCTGCCGGGCCGGCCAGGATGAGGAGAGAAAGGAAGAGGTGAGGGAGGTGACAGCAGAAAGAGCGACAGCAGAAGAGCAAGAAGGGGGTACAGAGGAGGAGAGGTAAGGAGGTGCAGCAGCAGACTGTTTGGTCTCCTCACTGATCTGACAAAAGGACAGAGAGGAGGAAGCCTTCAGAGGGCTGCAGTCACCGACATCATCAACCAGGCCATGTTCTCTCATCCTTCACTGACAGCTCAAGAGTGAGCTGCATTTCTAACAACTATTTAACAGTGAAGACTTCTCACAAAAAAAGAAGTATCACCCTCCAAAGGTTTGAATTTCAAAGATTGTGAAATTCCCATGACAGATCAAAGGTCCAAAGATTTTTAGTAAAATCTATGCATGTTATAATTCAAGACTAACATTTAAAGTGTGTTAATCTTGAACATTACACAGAAAGTGAGTATCATATGACCAGAGACTCTGGTTTAACTTATAAAGGACACATAATCTAGACTTTGTTCATTGTAATCTTTGTCTTCAATTATTTTTGGTATCACGTCTGTGCATAGATAATACAACAGCTTTACTAAAATGGAAATATATGCGAACAAATCACGAAGATTTTTGTGAACAAGTTTACCTTCTTGTCGCTGCTGCTCATCCTGTCCTTGACGTCTTTGGCTTTCTGAATAGCTTTAAGAACTTCCACTGTGTCCAACTCCTTCTCTGTTGTCAATTTACTGTCGAGACAAACCTGAGGCAGAGATACAGGGGAAAAAAATCCATTGAAACCTTATTTAGAGCCTACATCTCAAAAAGGATCTGCAGTTGTAAAAAATTACCAAATCCACCCGTTTCTTACAAAACAGCCAAAATGTTTCATCCAAACCAGAGTTGCTGTACCTCTGCTGCACGGTCACCAAACTGGGCCAAGACTTTTGTTCTGTAGTCTGGGATGATGCACATCGGGTTACTGGACAGATTGAGTTTCTCCAAACACGGCAGAGAGCCGATGTTCTTGATCTCCTCCAGCTACAACATACACACAGTTATTAAAAAAATGTTTTTTTCTTAAACTAGATTAAATGACCTCATCTTCAGAATGGGAACCTGAGAGAGCTGGTTGTGGCTGAGGTCCAGGTTGACCAGGGAATAAAGCTTAGTGAGTCCAGTTAGTTGGTCCAGTTGATTTCCTGCCAGGTTTAATGTTTTGATGTTGCCCAGACGGGTGTGGGCCGCCTCGATGACCCGCAAACTGTTATAGGACAGATCCACATGGACCAGGTTGTACAGATGCTGCAGCCAGGAATATAAAAAAATAAAAAACAAACATATCTGTTTAGTTTGAAACTAAATAACTCAAATATACAGTCAGCTACACAAATTGTTGACTGGACAGTAATTACAATACAGCAGTTTTGTGGTAGTTGTACTACAATACATAAAAATACAAAGTCAGGGTTTGAAGGTTTATTTATTTTACAAAGAATATTTGATGCACACTTAGCAGTGAACTGATATGATAACTATATATGATATCCAAATACCTGAAGGTTTTCCACAGAGGACAGCTGGTTGTAACTCAGATCCAGGAACTCCACCTCCCGAATCAGTTTCTACAGAGTAAATTCCAAAGATTACCCTCTTTCCTCTCTGCCATAGCTCTGTATTCTTATCTGTGTCTCTGGACAGGTGCAAAGTCGATAAAATTAATGACCGACTAACTTGACTAATTTAAACTGATGATTCAGACACTGTAGAAAACAGAGACAATCCAATCACCAATTTCTTATCTTAAAAAAACAAGACTTAATTAAATGCCAATCAAACTCAGGTTTTCTTTCAACAGTATTTAGGTTTTGTGTATGTGTGTGTGTGTGCGCGCGCATGTATCTCACCACTGAGCTGTCAATGCTGCTGATACAGTTGTGACTCATGTCTAATGTAGTCAAGTTTTTCCACATGGGGATAATTGCTGTGACAGGACAGCCAGGATCTACACCCTCAGGCTCCCACTGTGAGAACTCACTGGCCTCTGGAACCAAGATTGACTGTGTGGGACATAACAGAATATAGTCCACAACATTACAGAAGAGTGGATACCTAAAGTAAAACACTAAATGATGTTCTGAAGCACCAAGATATTTAATCTTTAACTTATCAAACACAACCTATCTATAAGTGTAAGATACATAGAGATAAGTATAACCATTTTATCAAACTTGGCATGTGGCTGTATTCAGTAATAACTTATCATACATGAAACAAAGATGAACAGATGATGTCTGAACAAATATTTATAAGTGTGCAAATTATCTGAAATTAAATAGACATATGTAAAAAATTTGAAAACATTACCTTGGGTTCAAAAAGGAAACTAATGGCTCAAATTAAACAGAGAGAGTAGATTTTCCAAATAAATATAATATATATATATATATAATAAATATTTAAGTATAATTAATTAACCCTTAAAAATGTACTTTAACATTAATGTGTAGACTTCCTTATTAACTGTAAATGTTAAAGTCTCAACATTACCATCATAGAATCTGTGGACCGGTGGGTGCTCATAGTCGCCAGACTGGACCTCAGAGAAGACAAACCCTGAATCTGCTGAAAGCTACAGTCACTAATCTGTAGCCAAAGAAAGATTTCACAATAAGTATTTATATCTAAATAATCAAAATCTTAATCAGTATTTTTTTAACAGTTGGCATCAATTTAAAAAAACATGAACATATTAAAAAAACAACATCAAGGATTTAATACTGGACTTTTACTGCGATTAAAAGTATTATTTTCAAGGATGTATTGTTAATGATGAATGAAGCTGAATATTGCGCTTATGTTATTTCTAAGTTAAACACAAGTTTTTAATAAAACATCTGTGACCAAATATGTGACTTACTTCTATTTGCAGAAGTGATTTGAAAACAGACAAGTCAAAGGGAAGACTCCTCTCCTGGATGTTACTGGTTCCTACATGATCTCTGGCACCGGAAATCTGACCAACAGAGGCAACATTTAACACTTCTGTTGCTACTGTACATTTGTCATCTGATCTCAATAAAATTGTCAGTGTCACCTTTAAGTATCTCAGTCTACAGGTAAAGTCCAGAATGTGTCCCAAATCAGTCCTGGCATCTCCATTACAGCAGGTTGGTTTGGCCAAGCGTAGCTGCTGAGAGATGGCGTAAAGCTGCAAAGGATTCAGACAGAACACCTCACCAGCTTGCAGCAGCTGCTCTCCTGTAACACACACACACATTTTTATACAGCTGTAGGTATAAAAATTATTTATAAAACAAGATGTAGTAATACTTTTATTTTTGTGAAAATACTTTTTTCAATTATTAAAAAGTAGCAACTGAAAAAAAGCCTACATGTTTATTCAACTTTTAAATTCAATTGGTTTATACATTAACATTTGAACTATTCATCTATGTCTGACACAGGTATATAAAACTTTGTCAATATGTTTAACATGTAATATAATATGTACTATCACTGACAATCATATTAAAATAATTAGGGCTTACTAGAGTTTAGATGGTTTAAAATTAAGAAGCTGACCTTTGTTAAATAACTCCTGAGCCAGGGCTGCTGTGATGCCATTGATTTCCTGCAAGAGAAAAACTACCTGTTAAAGTGTGCATTCAATTTAAAGTAGCTGGATATTCCACACTCATCAAATCACATTTAAAGAATTGTGAACAGGTAAGACAAATAAAAGTGGTCTAAACATCTACGACTGATCATCACAACCACCAGAGGTAACTGCCGGCTGATCTTGAGAACACTGAAAACAGTGGCTTATTGTTTGTCTTCATCATATGATCTGAGTCACAAACATCTCATGTCCTGATTTGGCATCGGACTGATCCGGTAAGGCTCTGCTCAGTCACATCAATACTCCCATGTACAAAGACAAGCCCTGTAAGAAGTTGTCTTTCCCAATGGGTGTAAAGGAATTATATGCCAAGCACTAATAAAGGCCGAAGAGCTCTAACTGCAGACTGAGAGCAACACCGACAATGGCCACATCCTATATGTTTTTATTGGTTTATTAGAAATATTAAGGAACAAGTATACGGCTACAAGAAATCTATACTACAGTACATGTGTTTTGCTCTATGTTCCCAGTTTCTGTATCAACTTCAGGTGCACTCACGTAAAGGTGAAAGTGAAGAAAGTGGGCAAGGGAAGGGGGTGTGGCCTGAGGAAACTGCTGCAACACTGTTTGTAGGTAAAGCTCCAGTTCTTTCTGTCGTTTCTCCACCAGACTCTTTGAATTCTTTCCCAACATCTTTTTTGGTGGCAGAAGGTTTCGCTCCACCTTTTTTTCTGATGTTAGCTAATAGACACACAGAAAAGACATCAACATAAAGCAAGCTTTATCTTTTATCTAATTAATCCCTTTCGATTGTCAGATTCATTCGAGTATTCATTAGAACAATTAAAACAAGAAAAGGTTGACATCATTAAGAACCATTTATTTATAAATGTCTTAATTTAATTTTAACCAAATAGTGGATTTCATTTAATCCACCCTCAAAACAAAATGGTAATAAGCTTCATTTAAAAAATAGCCACAGTTCCAAGCTGGACTCAACCTCAAAAACCTCAAATAAACGTTGTTAGTGTACCAAAAATACTGAGTGGTGATAATGCTTGAATTGATATATTTCACCTTCTCATGAAGGTCATGGAAGTCGCTGTAGCGATGTTTTACAGTCCATCTGTGCTCTCCAACCATCACATCAATGATGTAAACCTGGAAAAACATTAGCAATTTTAAAAGATCAAAGGATTGCAAAAAGTGTGTTAATTTATGAAATAAATCACTTAATATAACATAATATTTAAATTTTAATAACATAAATATATCCCATCCACTTACACACTGAATTCCATGGGATCATGTATTCAACAGGGCCATGGAGCATCATTTCTAGTGGCATTTTTAAAATGACCTAAACTGTACCGTATTTGTTATTCTAAGGTTCATGTAGCAAATTCGATAGCAAGTTCTGTAGTGCGTAAAAGTATCTACTTCAGAAACCTGTGGAATTTGAATACAGAAGAAATAAAGGAGTAATGAGCACTGAAGGATTCCACTTATGGTGACCAATCATATGACTTGAGTTAGATGAGTCGAGTGCTCCAATCTGTCGTAACTACTACTCAAATAAACAAAGTCATGTAGAGACCACACCTGAAATCGTTGGCAGCTGAAATTGGTCACCATCATTTAAAATAACTCTAAACAACTCAATTTTATTCTAATGGACACGTAGCGCAGCTAGCTGTTAGCTCATCAGTCACGTAGTTTTCAGCAGTGACGATATGACGTTAGAATGAGAGCCGGGTTAAATACGTAATACAGAAATGTGAACAAATTGTGTATTCACTGCATAAATGACTCACTTCTTTTCTCTTTCTTCTCTGTAGTGACACTGACGATACAAGGGCTACAAGCTAAGCTAAGTGCCATTTGACACGGTTTAACTTACAGTGTAGTTTTCAACCAGCTCGGAACCGACGACACACACTTTCCTCTCCGACATCTCCACTGGAAATATTTCTGACTCCATTCTGAAATCTGGAAAATAAAGTATGACCTTCTTTCTCAGTGAAACCGAAAAATCCACTGGTTAAAGTGGGGTCTGAGGACGTAAGGGTCGGTTAACTGCTTCCCGACGCCATTTTTGTTGTGATGCCTGTATAAGCAGCTGACTGGGGCAAAAAAAAAAAAAAACAAACAAAAAAAATAAAAATAAAACCGGGGCAATAAACTTTATTAACATCGACAGTCACTATAACGTCTCTTCGTGTCTAAAAGTAAATTAACATATTTTACAACGGTAAAAATTTGAATTTTCAACTTAAAGTCGTCGTTAATATGTATCTTTAGGAATTAGATCCCAATTCTAAACAAAAAAGTCAAACTTTTGAAAAGGGAAGTCTGAAACTTTCAGGAATTCCGAGATTTAAGTCATTCTCTCTTTTTAAAGAATGCATGTCTTTATCAGAATGGCTAGATTTAAGTCAGAATTGTAACTTGACTTACGTTTACTTCAACGCACTTACAGCAATCAGCATTCATTGGTTTATATACTGTATGTGGAAATATAATTGGTAGTAGACGAAGTAGTAGCCTCAGCTAGAAACTTTAAATGCGAATAAAGGGTGTAAAGAATGCCATTTTGTGATGAATAGGATTAAATATTGCAACTATTTAAAAAATCTTTTTGGTTAAAAATGCGTTGCAGATACATTGAAACATAATTAGTGACAAGCATGTGGGTTTAATATTTTTTATTTGTAATTTTATTATTTGGAGTTTTAAAATGTAGCACACTTTTAGCATGTCGGTAGATCACAACTGACGAGTTTTTTCTTTCGTGTTTAAATGTCAACGGTATGACGTATTAACTATCTGACCTGAGGAGGGCGCTAGATCCCAAGACAAAACTACAATAATGTATGCTGACGGCATCATAAATGTTATTGAAACACAAGTCATGATAGTTTGCCCGTAGCTGGTAATAATTTTACTAATTCAGTCGTGCCGCGACAATTGTCTATATTTGATGTCAATCTATCTGATAGTTGTTGAAATGCATACGTCCTGAGGGTGTTTGACAGACAGTCAGTCCCGACGCTATAAAATGCAAACGCGGAAACTAGGGCAGATTATCTGTATGCGATGTTTTAAATGAGACGCTTTGTGTGATCTCACTTTGTGAATGACGTATAGTTAGTCCACTGAGTGTTGCTGTCTGTTGTTTCTGTACAGTGGTGTGTCTGTTGTCAGAGGGTGGCGGTGGAGTGGGTGTGGGGCATCATCAGCAGCTGAGGATCAGATTTCAGCTGCTAAAACTGAAGAGGACTGAACCATGGCGTTCAAAAATGCAACTCTCCTCTTGTAAATCCAGCACAATCCAGTGTTAATAAGTGTTTACATACTTTATAAACAAGTGGTTATATGTGAATATGATAAATATAGGTGATTATTTTATTTTTAGATTGCGGACAACCTGCACACCCAACCCTCCTTCTGGTCACCCCTGTGAATGGTACAGTCCACCTCTTTATCCAGAGCCCGAAGAGAAGACAGGCTTACATTCAATGCTTGTCAGAGGAGAGTACATGACACTCACAGGCCCAGAGCTGAGAAGACAAATTGCTGTAAATCAGCTAGAAGACTCTTACCAACCTCTAACAACTCACTTTAGTGCAGTCACCGATCTGTAAGGTGCTGATTTCACTTTGAGAGAGGTCAAAAAGAGAGATTAGAGAAACAGAAGAGGGCGTGACAGAGAGCCAGCGAGAAGGCAAGCTGCTACTTCAAGGGGAGGAAGAGCAGGCTATGCACCAGCCAAAGCCAGAGGTCAAGAAAAAAAGAGAAAGGATAGTGAAAAGGTAGACCTAAAGTGAGAAGGAGGTCATTTGTGATCTGAACCAGAGAAGCAAAAAACAGCCTCTCTTTGTTGTGTGGGCCACCTTGTGAGAAGGAGGATGTGAAGGAGTGCAGGAGGGAGGAAGGGAGGCCACAGCAAGAAAGACAAGAAAATGCTCTCAGAAATGATGTGCAGACGGAGTTGCCAGCAGATGCAGGATGGAAAGGATGCTCTACAGAGGGACCCTGTGAGCCGCAGGAGGCGCGGGTGGTCCAAGAGCTGCAGGGGTCGCCTGCAGGGGCGGAGGGCACTGGGGGGAAGATGGTCAAGGGGTCGCAATCACCAAAATCAGCAACATCATCCTCATCACCACCATCCCAGACACCTTCAGCGGCCAATGATGTCACTGCGGCCCATTAACATGAAGGGGAACAGAGTGAGGGGGATGCGGGCTCCCAAGAACACCAACCAGTTTCTGATGCACGAGAAGTACCAGATGCTGCACATGCGCTCCGACTCCGTGGGCAGTGACAGTGGCTGCAGCTCAGACAGTGACACAGAGCTGACGGACATGGATTCCTACCTGGGTGTCTTGGAGAATGCCAGAGGAGCTCTTCTGGACAGTCCCAACCCATATGGCCCGACAACGCCACCAGGGCAGTTCCTGGTACTGCATGAAAACAGTCTGCATCTGCAAGGGGACAATCGCCAACTGCGAGAGGACAGTCTGCATCTTCATGAAGACAGCATGCAGTACTTCCCGTCTGAGGACGATCTGATGCAGAGCCAAAATTTCATGCAAAGGGACTTTGTGGAGTTCTGTGACATCTTGACACCCTGAAGGGAAACTTTCAGGAAGCCATTTTGATCCCTGTCGTGTAAGACTCAGACTGAACACGGGCAGGTTTGTTTGGCTTTATGTTCGGTGAAACAAATACATGTCAACTTTTTATAAGCTATTTAAAAGCTGAAGAATTCATCTACAGTTTGTGAGTGTACTGTCAGATGTGAGTTGAACTCTGGTGTTTGATAAAATCTTTTACAGACAATATTTTTTTCACCACATGTTGCAGATGTCTGCAAGACTGTCATTTTAGACACAATAAACAACGTTTTGAGAAAGCACTCAATAACCTCACTGTGTTTTTATGTTTAATAAAATGTTTTATCAAGGCAAAGATTAAATTTATGTTTTTTTACATTTCATTTGTGGCTCATGTCTATTTATTTCTAAACAGCTGCCTGGGAGCTGAATAAGTTATTGTGCACAAGGAGATTGGCTGCGTGGTGGGAGTGAATCCAAACAACCAGTTAAAATAGGAGCTGCCTGAATTACCATGATGTGATTGGCTGATGGAAGTTGTCAATAACAAAGTAGAGCCATTTTCTCAACGGCTCTAATGATCTAAAAGAAAAACAATGAAGAAAGAAAATACAGTGTAAACAGAGTCGATGCCAAAAAGAAAGCATAACAAATAATGAATAAAATAGTTTGGTAGCATTGGCAGTTTGGCCTCTTATAATTAGACATATACTGTATACACTTTGAGCATTTCCTAAAAGCTTTAAGGAAACAAATTAGGAGAAAAAAAGTACATTATAAAAATCTAGAAAAAAAACAATTGATTTAAAGTTTAAGGAAAAACAAATGTGATGATTACTGATACTACACACTGTGTGTGTGCGTGTGTTTGTGTGTGTGCACGGTCCTAGAGGGACTATCCTCGGAATTAAATAAAGTAAAACAACAAGATCCACATATATTTTTTCAGGTTTTGAAAGTATTTAAAAAACACTCACAAAAGTGAAGTGCTGGGTCAAACCCACTCTGCACTTCTTGGGAGCAGTAAAACCTCTTTGTGTTCTTTTTGTTAATGTGTCATAAACTAATAATGGAAATGGGTCAAAGAGCAGGACTAGCACGTCTTCAGCTCTGTTATACTTTGTATCTATAAACAGGGGGAATGAATGTTGTTGGGAATTTCATAACAAAAAACATGAGTTGATCGACTTTATATTATTGTTTTTATCAAGTTAAATCATGTTCTTGTCCACCCAACCGTTCACCAATGCCCCAGAGTTCAGCCTTTGTTGATATAGTTTAAGTTAATGCTAATTGTGAAATCTTGTTTAATAATGCTACTGCACAGCAAATCATAGCAATTTTTTTAGATTATCTGCCCAGAATTATTCTTATAATATTGTTAATCAAGAAAAACCTTATAATAATCTTTAAAAAATCCCACAATAAGACAAAAAAACAAAGATGAGACAAAGTCAATCTTAATACCATAATCAATAATAGATTAGATGCTGTTCTCTGTGTATTATAGATTATAAAACACAGAGAACAGCAAACCTAATTAATGTACTGTTTCTTGTAGGCGGTCCCCTCAAGCTTATTGTATTTGTACTCGTGTTCTTGTCAGCATCGAACCCTCACACCGATTGATCTTCAGAGGCGTAATCATCTTATCTACCACAGAACACAACTAGCTTGTTCATTCATGTAAGATTAAAATAAAATATGATAATCTGGCTCTTTTCATGATGAAGCTCAGTACTGCGTCTTGATACTGTAGTTAGTTGTGGATATTTGCAGTGGTTGCTGTCTAATGGTGGCTTGTTGACAGAGATACTCACAGACATATACTACATTCCAGAGCTTCTTCAGAAACTGTGAGGAGGGACAGTGGTACTGAAAGTGGTTTATGTCTGCATAGGTTGTGAAAAAGATTCCTTGTAGATTCCACACTCAGATCCCTAATTTTATTCCGAATTTGTACATACCCGAATCCTGAATCCAAATACCTTCATTTAGCCCTGTGTAGGAGTCACCTCTGTCACTGTCAGATCCTGCTACCATTCGAAACAACCATATGATTAGGCACTAAAGTAAATACCGGCTGTAAAAAAAAAAGGGGGGTTGAAGAATCGGTGCCCGTCTAGTAGAGCAGAATGGAAAGACGTTAATGATCATTGCACAGAAACAAGGGCTCTACATGTACAACAAAATTGCAGAGACATCTTGCAGAGAGGTGTAGAGAATTGACCTTTGCTCTGAAGGCCCTTTCCTTGTTGTTAAATTAAGGCTAACATGGCTAATATTTAGAGCTAAGTTATTAGGGTTTGTCAAAATGTAACTTCACTGATATTTACCGGATGAGAAGCCAGTGGAATGAGACCACCCTCCATGAACGCATAACAGTGTCTGTTCCAAACACTCAACAGGTTTTGATATTGTTATTTTAAACTACCTTCATTGTACTGTAAACATCATGTACTATGAGGTCGCTGCTATTTGAAAATACCAAGAGTATGCCGTAGATTGGACTTTTTGTCTGTGTGTTATACAGTTGAGCCAAGAACCGTTTTTTGGTTTAACATTTTCTTTGTTCTGTGAATTAATCAAGTGAGTAAATTGCCCAGATTAACAGTCGGTAAATATCGAGACAAAGATTAAGTCATGATGTCAGGAGCCACATAGGCCAGGAGCAGGTGACAGTAGCAGGTCCAGACTCCTCTGACTGACCGTGCCTCTTAGACCAGGTTATTGGGTCATCTTACCCTGGGTGACATCCACCCATTTACGAAGGAGGGGCATACACACATACATACACATAGACATACACGGACACAGTGAGTCACACTGACCCACACGTAGGGCCACAGTGACTCTGTTGGCTGTGTGATCTGTGCAGTATCTACTGCAGTTTTACTTTATGACTCTGCTGCAGATTTCCATCGGTCAGCAGCTCCGGTTTGACTTGTTGCACAATGTCGCCTGTGATTGGTCAGCTTTCGCTGGCAAACAGGAAGTAAATGTGAGCTGGCTGACACTCACACACACACACACAGTGAAAGGGAGAGCGACATACAGAGCCGAGTAGAGCAGATTAGTGAAAGTGGATCAGGAGTCTTCAAATACTTCCTTTACTAACTGCACTATTGCTTATCAACTGACACACAAACACATCATGTTTTAATTCACCACAATTCTTGCTGACACGTTCCATTTTCAAAATAAACCTTCACATTAATATGAAGTTGCCCAAAGCAAACTTAAACTCGCGGTGGTCTGGAAAATGTGATAAAGTGCTTAATACAACTCAGCAAGGTGTGAATATTTAACACACACAGACGTCATACACACGCAGGCAAGCACAGACATGCACAGACATGCACATGCACTTAAGATTAAATCATGTTTAAAGAGACGTTGTTTTACAGCTACACAGATACGGTAATTGTATGAAAAACTGTAAAAGAAAAAAAAGAAAGAAAAGAAAAACAACATACTGATACACCCCCATGCAGTACTGCAGTTACTGCACTTTAACATCATTAACAAAATAAAGATTAAAGATAGATAAACATATATATAAAGAGCTGGCTATTACATTATTTTGTAATAACTAAAAAGCTTTTTGCAAAGAATTGTTGCCAAGAGTTGCTGCCGTGTTTCACACTTGATGCTGGGGTTCAATTTGAATGCCTTTATATGAAAAAGTGGTGGAAATAAGGAAAATAGAAAAAAAATCCAAGTATATCTTAACTGTAGTACTTCAAGGACAAATATATACCTTATTATTAAGTATGATAAAAGATCTCCAACATCAGAGGTACTGTAGTATATGGTGAGGTAACCTCCCCTCGGTTGTACTAATCAGTTGGAATTCATTGATAGGTCAGAGTCAGGTTTTATTACCATTATCAAAGCAAAAAAAGTATATTTAGTCAAAAAACACTATTAAAAAAAGTCTATTACAATGATACAAGTTGGTCAAGAGTACAACCTGAAAAACCCCAGAAGTGGAACCTGACGTTGCTCAACAGAGTCATGTGGTTCACTTCACATGGTCTGATGGAGGAGGCCATCATGATAAATGTGTTGGTTTTTCCTCACTCACTTAACAAAGATGATTGAGTTAGTTACCAGCTGACTTAATAGGCTGCTGTACTGACACATAGGTTAAAAGAAGAAAAGCTCTTTTTTCCTTCTGTAATGAGCCCTACTGTGACTGAAGCAGCTGAACTGCAACAGGTTGACATACCAAACAACAGTATGTATTAAGAAAGTGGGATAATTATATGACATGGATAAAGGAGACAGAGTGGAATTTGATAACTGTTGACCTGTGTCCACCTCGTTTTGAACACGTGTCAATTTGTGTTAAGATTAAATGAAGTTTTAGGTAATTGTTCTTGCAGGTGGCTGGATGAAACTTTTTTTCAGTTGTTTCATAAATCTGTAAGGGACCATACGGTGTGAAAGTGTTAAGTGCTTTTGCCTCATTCCACTGTCAGTGGAAACTGATGGTGCATTGTCCCTGTGTGTATTTTTTCCAGGTACGCCCACTTCCTGCTACGGTCCAGAAACATGCTGGGTTAGGTGAACTGGACACCCTGCATTGACAGTAGGTAAGAATGAGAGCGTGAATAGCTGTTTGTCTCTAAGTGTTGGCTGCAGCTCCTCACAGTCCTGAAAAAGATTAGTCAGCAGAAACATGGATTTATGGATTATAACCTGTTTATCAAAGTACAGGTAATATGGTCATGTTATTGGGACATATGAAAACCACAGAGACTAGGAACTTAGTTAAACACTAAAAACTTATGTGCATGTAGCTCTGTCTATAACCCCCCCAAAAAAATCAATAAAACCACAATTTCCTCAGTGTGTGTGTGTTTGGGCAGGGGCTTAATCTGTTATGAAAGGCTGAAGTTAAGGAGGAGGAGGAGGAGGAGGAGGAGGAGGAGGAGGAGGAGGAGGAGGAGGAGGAGGAGGAGGAGGAGGAGGAGCAGTAGATGGATAGTTTAGTTTGGATCCAGCCTGGAGTGGAAAAGTACAGCCGTCTGCTCAGTAGGTGGAGAGTTCTCTGTTGAGTACACTCACCAACCAATCAGAGCACAGAAAAACATATCCATGAATAACAGTACTGGGCAGCAGAACAAACCAATAGAACTCTGAACTCCACAACTGAGGCTCTGTACAATGCAGCGCTACGGTTCTGACGATGACAAAGGTGACCAAGATTAAAGAGTTAACTCGCATGTAATGAATGTTCCACCTGTGATGTGTTAGTTCTATGACCATATCATCTGAACTCAGCGTACACTCTAACAGACATATTAATTTTTTTAACTTCTATCGTCCACTTGTTGATCCTGCCTTCTACCTACAGAAGGTACAACTGTCCAAGGGGAAGAACGTAGATTCACAGAGTCCAGAACAGTTGTTAGTTGTTAGCTCTTCCTCGACGTGTACTCAGGTTTGGACTTGTAAATCCATGCCTCATTTTTAATCGTAAAATAATTCCTCAGTTTTATTGAGTGGCTGCTTTCTTTAACACAGCTTTAGAATCAGAAGAGGTGTACAGTTACATTTAAGCAATCAAATAGTTGCACAACAGTATATTTACATATAGTAGTAACTTTGTACAGTGTAGTATACAAATGTATTCCTTCCCATTTAGGTTCAGTACTATGTCAATACAGGCTGTAAACTGGTGAGAACAAGAGCTAAAGGTTTGTTACTATTGTGCTTCAAGAAACGAGCTGCAGGTTTGACAGGAGACGACAGCAGCAGAAAAGTTAAGGGACTTTGAAATAACAAATAGTTAAAGGGCAGCACCATGGAGTTAAATCCCAGGCTGAGCACAAACACTGGTGCTAAAGGTATTGTTGTATGGTAACCAAGCCCCTCAGACGTTAACCCAACCCCCAGTTGTTGGTCAAGACCTCTTCTGGAACACTTCTCGAGGGCAAGGTTTGGTTTAAAGAATCATAAAGGAATTCAGCTCTGGTGTGTATTGTGTTTAATCTACAGGTCAAAAGAATTGCGTATTATTTGTACCAACCCCAGTGCCAGAAAACTAGGTACTGTATTACTACTTATCACTTTTTGCTTAAAAAAATAAGTTATTTTATACAAATAGTAAATAAAAAAATATTTCTGCAACAAGATCAAAATTTAGTATGAAAAAGGAAACAAAAGAACAGCACACCTTTTTCGTAGGTTTTTACCTGATCAGTAAATGTTTAAGGATAAATGATCGCAATAAAGAGTTGATCTTTTTTTTAACCACATATTTTTACAATTTAAAACAACTAGGCTAAAATTTTCAAATGTAGTTTTATGTGAAGCTACACTTTCTCTACCAGTGCAATTAAACCACAGTACTTGTGTGTGTGTGTGTTTAATTCTACAGTCTACAAAACAGTGTGACTGTTGGATCAGTGTCCCGCTGCTCCACTAACCTGGCAACACACACGCACAAATTATGTGCACACATATACACACATGCAACAATTTGGTAGCTATTTTGGTAGCATGAGCTCAAGGTATCACTGTCTCTCTAAGCCCAGGGGTCAATGTTTAACAGAACTCTCTCTCTCTCTCACACACACACACACACGCACACACACACACACACACACACACACACACACACACACCTGATGTGTGTGGGGGTTGAATTAAAAGAGCAGGGAATGATGACTGAACAGATCCATGATAGAGTGACATGAACAGAGGAGCTCCTAAATTGTGTTGTAACATACCAGAGAGGATACTCCACGCTGATTGGTTGGACGTCGACGCTAAGAGTGCCATCTGCTGGTTGATGCTTTAAAGCGTTTCTTTTCTAGAATCAAGAACAATCAATTAATGACAAAAATAGAAATAAAATGCCATTTCAGACATAAAAAATGATTTTCAAACCCCCCCATCCTCCAAACGTCTTTATCTAAATTATTATATGAATCAACAATTTCAAAATTATTATGAAACTATTGAGTAGATATTACAATAAAACATGATAATAATGTGGGAATCCGAAAACAAAAACACTTAAATATTCTCTGTTTCCATATTAACCGTTAAGTCAAGTCATTATATGTCCACAAAACTACAAATATATCAGTGTTGTTCATGGTGAAGTCTGTCTTGACATGTGTTCTTGCAGTCAGCTGTTACTGATGTCGAACCCAAATTATGAAATAATTCTTGACGACAGACTGATCTTTTGTTCATCCCATGTCCCATGTACACACACTCCTTCATAAACAACACAACACCGTTAATGTGTGAGTCACGTTTGGCACGTACTGAGCGTATATGAATGTATGTGTGCTTCGGAAATCTCGGCCTCTGATTGGCTGGAACACCATACTCTCAACTACTTAGCCCCGCCCCCTTCACAAGTGAGGAAAACAGTCTTTGCCAGAGCTTTTCAAACAAAGGATTCAATGTCAGTGTATATATACACAAGGAAAATGTCAAATGTTGGCGTAAACTTTTTTTAATCTGTTGTAGTTAAGCTGCCCCCCATTTTTTAAAATCGTTTTCTTTCTGTTGTGTAAGAAAAACAATTCGGTGTCAACATGTCTTCCGTACTTTCCCTCTCCCCAGCTCTCTAAATACCAGATATATATCGTTTTAAATAATGAACGCTACACTTACTAAAACATATTCTGCTTGTTATTTTTTTAGCATTTTCAAGTTCGCAAACTTCCATCCTTCCTTTCCTGAAGAGTGTGCTATAAACCCAGTCATAATACCCTTTATATACTATACATTTCACCCATTTATAGCATTTACATTCTTGCCACATATTCGTAGTATTCATGGTATTTTTTTTAAATCATTCAGCAACACAGGGAGTGGGTTTTGATTAAATATGTGTTACTTAACTTTAGTCTCCTTGAGGACTATCAAATTCTAGTGGTTCATCTTGAACATCTTTTCTCTCTTTTGTTGAACAGCAGCTCTAAATCCTGCTTCCCTGCCATATTTTGGTAAACAATTATAAACATATTCTAAACACCATCATAAAATGACTGATTAACCTTTTGAGTGATTAATTTTTTATGACAATTTACACCCTTTTCTTTGCTCTTCCCTTTTCTCTCCATTGTATTTCTACCTTCTGAGCCTCTGTTATCTACCAAAACCCTACAGTTTGTTCTGTTTTCACTGAAGTCACTTGTTAAACCCTTTATACTCATTTTATGATAAATGTCACTCGTTGCAGTTGGCCTAAAAAGCTTTAATGTAAGTGCAACAACATCCCGATGTTTTGACTGTCGTTCAGTTGACGTACTGTGTCCTTTCCCTCTAAATCAAAAACACTGAATGTCCCTGTCGGTGTCTGACCTTTAGTGGAACAACTCACAGAAACACTGATAAAGACGGTAGTAGCATAACGCTGTTTGGAAGGTACAAAAGTACCTTGCACAACTCTCACTTTTAAAATGAACTTTTTGAGGATTACCCTTTTCTAAAGCTTTCCAATGTAGCCTGACCTTTAAATAAGATCCAGGAATGAACTTCCCAAAATGTCTGCATGTACGCCATTTCTTTTTCCAACACCATCACTTATTAATAAAGCTTACTCTAAATACCAATTTTTGGTCAAGGTCTCCTCATTAATCATGACTTTTAAAGTCCCTGAATTCTGGAACAAAATAACTTTGTTTTGTGTTTTTTTTTTGTTTGTTTAATGTTTATGAGGAATTGCTAACTTCACTGGAATGGGATGAATGACCTTTAATTTTTGATGTTTATTTTCAAAATCAGGGTGCACATTGCTGGAGATGCTGCTGTTATTCATTAGTGTCAGGAATAGCATATCCAGACGCCCCCTTCTGGTCAAAGAGTGTATTATAACACGATGCATTTTCATAATTTTTTTTGCCAGGTTCCACCTGATAATAAAACGATTTTGAATTGATCTTGAATTCTGTTTGGATGGAGAATTCTTTGTATTCTAGTGAGAATTTCTAAAATATATATATTATATGCAATGGTTTTTCAAATAATGGA